CTTCCCATGTTTTGCTGTTTCTTTGATTTGTTTTAAATTAAAAGTACATTGTTTAAATATTAGAGATGGATGTTTTTGAGTTACGAGTTGCATGTTCCTTTAAGACGAATCAGTAGGAAAAAGTAATCCAAATTTATTTTTTCTGTGAAGCTCATGTTCAAGGATAACATCCTATAGTTATTAATTTTTTTAGGTGAAATGTGACCTAATTCAGGAAAACAGTAAGATTGAAATGAGGTGCTGTCACAGCAAGCTAAATGAAATCCGAGAAGTATTCTTGGTCAGTTATTTCCACTCACTGCGATGTTTTACTACTGAAGTATTTGTGATGCTTTTATTTATCCATATCACCGAAATTTCTGTTAGGAGCCAGAGGAGCTACTTCTCCAGATGGCATTGCATTTTTTGGGTGCTTTTCCTAGAAACGAATAATTACTTCTGTAATTGCCTGGATGACAAGATGCTGTGCATGCACACGTGTACGTACAGACTTGTGTTTGTGGTTATATATAACATTAAACAAATCAGTTTTCCCTTCCATTTTACTGGACTATCAACTTAATACTTCCTAACATCATACACAATGCTTTGCACTGTGATACATTTTTTTAAGTATTGAAAAAAGTTGTATATTTGGAGAACGCTTACTAGGAGATTACATCTGCTTTACAGATACGTAGGAGATAAATGGAGTAAGTTCAGACAGAAATGGGAGTTAAAGCTTGGCTTTAGCTCGCTGTATCTTGCGCTAATTATTGGAAACTGAACTCCAAAATACGGTCTCATGCAAAACGTGTGTCCAAAAATAACAAAGTAAACATTATAAAAATTATTAGTAGCAAGAGTGCCTAATCAGAGGCATTACTAGTCATCTTGAGACAGTATGGATCTTGCTCCAATTGTATATGAGAGCTGCTCAACTAAGATAAAACATGGAGGAAATAATCTTCAGGCAGGTAATCTTGAAACAGATTCTGTACTCAGCCAGATTCTTTTCTTGGAGAAGCATGATGATTATTTCCTCAGTGAGTTATTGTAAGTATTTGGTAAAAGAATAAGGAAGATGTGAATAGTTCAGAGATTTAGCAACTAGGGGAAGGAGGAATGTCCTTTATGGCTTGTCTGTTCATTTTTTGAGACAAAACCTTTCTTTGGAGGAGTAACTCCAAATAAAGTTCGAATAAACTGCTTCTAGCTCTTAGATGTTTCTCAATGTCAAGGTGTAATCTGGACCTTTGAGGTATTCCTAGTTTTTCTGTGGTACCTAAATAATCTACATATTTATTTGTCTTGTCTTGCATCAAGAAGACGAACTCATGGGAAATGCTGTATAAAAACATTCAACTTTTTTCTTTTTCCCCGCAGGGTTCACTCCATCTCCTGTTGCTCAACCACAGCCATCAGCTGGCCTTAATGTTGACTTTGAGTCTGTGTTTGGAAACAAATCTTCTAATGTCATCCTAGATTCTGGTGGTAAGGCATTTACTAAAGTAGATGAAGTATGTCCTTCGTTTCTTATTCTTGAGGTATAAATCTCTTAATCTGTATCTACTCACACTGCTGTGACAGTGTTCCAGCTGAAGAAAAGAAAGTTGACTTTAAAAGGTCAATAGCATTATTCATCTGGTTTTTCTTTGATATTCAAATATTTTTTCCTTATATGCTGCTTCTATGTGCACCACACTGAAATGCTTACATTAATTTCCTTCACTTCAATATTTTGTGCATTAAACCTTCAGACAGTGAACAGCCTTTGTTTTGACGTGCTGTCAAGTGGAATTAAGTCTGTATTTGTAGAGAGTGTGGTCAGAAGAGGTAGAGTTAAAGTTGTGTCTTAATTGTATAGATCTGTGCAACACGTTTTTGGCACTCTGCCTACATGTTACTCTTTCAATGTTAAGGAAATGATAAATTACCAAAACCTACACAATTAATTTGGATTGTAGTCATAGTTAATACTATTTCTGTTCTTTTGAGCATCTGGAACGTAAATACTTTCTGGTCTCTTGACATTGAATTTTGTTTTGGGGCAAAGCAGTGATCTGCTAAAAGCAAATGCATATGCATTTTTGTAGGATTGAAATGCGTTAAATGTTTTTGTATTTTGTTTTACATTTTGATTACTTTCCAGTCATTGTGAATCCATTCCATGTAAATTTGATGTCACGTAGGTTAAACTAGTAAAGTGAAATCTCCTTTCTGTGGTAAATATCTCCTTTATCAAGAGGCATAATAAGTTTTATCCTTGTTATATAGTGTAGCATCACTAGGTTAAATTCTGTATTTTAGCCATTGTGTTGAACTTGCTGTCTGTTTAACTGAATGTCATGAAATTCATGGGAGCCTGTGATTCAAATCGCTTTTTACGTTTATCATTCCAAGGCTTTGATGAACTAGGTGGTCTCCTAAAACCAACAGTGGCCTCTCAAAACCAGAGTCTTCCAGTTGCCAAAGTACCACCTAACAAATTAGTGTCAGATGATCTGGATTCATCTTTAGCCAATCTTGTAGGCAGTAAGTATTGAACCACAAACATACAAATACTTATTTAATGCTTTTCAATGAATAGAATGTCAATAGTATCTTTTTCTTTGTGACAGATTTGGGCATTGGAAATGGAACTACTAAAAAGTAAGTATACGTGATCAGAAGTTGAGCGTTTTGATTTTCTTGGTAGTAAAATTTTATGAAAGTACAGGTTCAAACCTGTGCACAACGCCATAGCGTTGACCTTTAGAGCACGTTTGGGATTGTACTTTGTTTCTCATACAAAGTATCATGAATTGGTGAGAACTGTTGGAAGGTGACTGTAGGCTGAGTGGTGGTGACAGTGATAACAGCAGGCAAGATGTCCTGTCCTACTCCTTTCAAGCTTTGTACATATTTAGGAAATGAGCTCATCAAAATGTTTCTTTGTAGTTGTTTTTAGCACACCTTATAAATACTTTGTGTGATCTGAGTGCGTGCAGAGCTGTATTAAGGATTGTGAAGCTACAACCTCCAACTTGTGGCCGACCTTTAGAGAAGTGAATTTTGAAGCAGGACGTGTTCTGGAGTAGTGGACATCTGCTCTAGCAGCACGAATGAGAACGCAATTAGCAAATTTCAGGCTTGTTGGGACCATCTGTGCCAACTCTGAAATTGTTCAGAAATCTGACATGCAGTTGCTCCTAGCTAAACTATCTTGACCCAAGGAAAGTCGGCTGTGTTAACTTACCTGTACTGGAGAACTTGACTGAGATGAGATAAAGCTGAGGTGGCTCATATTGAACATCTTTACTTTTCCTAGCTGTAACAAGCTGTCATGAGACCTTTCATCAACTCCTTTGCTAAATGAGCTTCTTCACTAACAAAAGAAGCCATGTTTCCAAGAGGAAATGTCATTTACCTTGAGGGATTTTTGTAGGAAAATAGAATGTTTTCTAATGATTCTTAAAAAAATTTATTTCAAGTGATGTAAACTGGACTCAGCCAGGTGAAAAGAAACTAACAGGTGGTTCCAACTGGCAACCCAAGATTGCACCTACCACTGCGTGGAATGCTCCAACGTTGGTAAGCAAATGTTTATTTTGAAGTAGAGAATTCTCTGCAGCTTAGATACACAGACTGATGTGTAATGGAGAAATTAGAAAGTGATCTATGGTTGCAGTGAGAGGGCAGTAGTAGAACTGGTTAGAGATGTGTGCTGCTTGGGTTTGTTTTTCTTAGCTGTGGGGCTCTAGTAAATAGTTTGTGATGTGCCACGTGCAGGTTTAGCATAAACTTCAGTAGTGTTTTACCAGCCTCTGTCATGGCAAGAGAGCAGCCATCGTGTTTCACTCCACTGACATAAAACTCTGAATTCCAGTGGTGTGTGTGGGGCCACTGTGCAGTCTAGAGAAGTAGAGTGGTGAACAGTATGTTCTTCAGGTGCCCTGATACATTGAGTATGTATGACATTACAGCTCAGCCTGCTCTGGAGACAGAAATGGGCTGGGAGATTAATCTTGATACGTGTCGCAGTGTTTGTGCAGTGATGTGGGCTGTAGCTTTCTTCACGTACTACTGCTCTCCTGCCCTGATGTGTGCAATTATTTTTAATGCACGTCAGTTTTGGTGATCAACTTCATAGCGTTCACTGTAGCAGGTAGCATTGGCAAGGATGTTTGGGCAGCACGTGGGGTGAGGGTTCTTAAGCCAAAAAAAGGAGGGGGAAAAAAAAAAGAGATTAAGGGTCTATATGAGTAGTTTTGATGTGAATTCTACTCACCCTTTCATCAGTGACCTGGAGAACTGTACATGGGCAGAACAGGTAACAAACCACCCCTGAGGATTTATTGCATCTCACTCTGTAACTGACTGGGGGAGGTTGAATCCACAGTGTTGTGGATTTGGAAAGAGAGAACTTGTCTCCCTGGATCCACCTCCTCCACCCTACTAGGTGTCCCTTATCAACTCAGTACACTTATGCAGGACAGAAATGTTTGTGGACCTTACTGGAGGGCGTGTAGATATTGAAGAAACCGTAACTACTCACCTGCTTTAATGACTGGTGGTTTGAGTTTACTCGTGTGCTTGAATCTGTTCAATAACTCATGTCTTGTGTGTACATCTTCTTGTGACAAGTCATTACGTTCAACAGCTTTTTATTATTTAGAGGTACCGTTGAGACACTTCTCTTCCTGTGAAACTGTTCTGTGATTCTATTAACATAAAAATCTCAAAATAGAAATAATCTAGGGGGAAAAAAAAAGTTTGTCTTCCTCTGCTGGTCTATTTATTGTGGCGTTGCTGCTGCTTGCTCAATAAATATGCTTTTGAAAACAAGGCTTTCTCGTCTTTGGAAAAAAGGCATATACCAAATAAATGGACTGTGCAAAACAATTACAAACCTAACAAGGATGACAGTATCACAGGTGTGCGTTGTCTCAGTAAATGACTTGAATTACAAGAATGTGTGGGGGTAAACATTTTAATGTATTTGTGAACTAAAATGCTATCTGTGTATATTCTGTTGTGTAAGTATTTGCTTCTAATCCAGTGTTATTGCATTATGTAATTGTTCTCCCTGGGAAATACAGAATGGCATGCATTTTCCACAATACGTAAGTGAAACAACCCGCAGCCTTTTTGCAATCAACTGGCATGCTGATATTAACCACTGCTGTTGCAGAGTCTCATAACCTCCTCGCTATTTACACATTTCTCATTTTAAAATCTTTGGTGTGCCAAAAATCGAGCTTTTCCTAGCATACACGAACTTCATAGGTGGTCTGCAGGCTCTTGACTCGAATGATGGCATGGGAAACACCGAGATTATTTTTCCTTGCTTTAAACTGTACCATTTGCTGCCAGAGAGCTGGGGTGTGTGTCTGTGCTGCCTTCAATGCACTTGGTGAAGTTTGAATGAAGATAAAAATGTTTGTGTTTGAATAACTGCATGAAACCTCACGGGCTTCTGTTACACTTGGCACTTTATCCACATTTATGGTAGCTCTTGATTATTTTTTTATTATTATTTGTTTTTTTTTAGTAGGGAGAGACCAATATGTCATTAATGCTCATATAAAAAAAAGAAAACCCCTGCTGACAGTTTACGAAGGGCAAGCAATAACCTGTACTCGCTGTCTGAGGAATGCAATCTTTCATTTCTAAGGATTTTTTTCTTTATGTCAACAGTGATATTGGTCTTTCCCTGTATTCTGTTTTTATTGCAGGGTAACTCTGTAACTAAAGGATGGTAGGTCCATACTTGAGCACTCGAAAATTAATTTAGTCAGCATGTTTGTGTGAGCGTAGGTGTGGATGCACAAGCAAAACAAAAAAATAAGTGATTTTCAGGATAGCTTTGCCAGCTGTGTGAAATATGTGGATAGTACCCAGGCTAGATGATTATCAGTCAGGGAAATCTGTTCTGATGGCAATTAAAATGCCAGTGACACTGGCTACTATCTCTGAAAAGGCAGCTGATACCTCAGAACTGACTTCAGAAGCAGCTTTGCTGATGTCCTGTTCTTGATGCTACAGTTTAGCTGCTTTAATTACTCCAGTACTTTTAATATTTTGTCACTTCCCTCTTTTCTGTATCAATAATACCTGTGTACCAAGAAACGCCTATGGTCTCTGTCTTGTCGTGGATCGTAATCCCCGCAGCACTAGCGTGAAAACTAGACCGCATTTTCTTAGAGACTTCCCAGCAGGTGGACAGGATAGACAGGAAGTTATCTGAATATTTATAAGCACCAATGTATAGTCTAAAAAAAAAACATTTTTTTGTCCTTGTAAGAGTTAATACTGATTTAGAAAGTGGATAATGAAACTGTAGAACAAAGAATATCATTAGGATATGAAGAACTGTCTTTAATATATTTTTCTTTCTAAGAGTCATCAGCTGTTTTTTCCTTTTCCCCTACATGTTGCCAAGTTGTTTACATAGCTTTACTCCAGGTCCTGTCTGCTGACGGCGATCTTACAGTAACCTCAAAAAAGTTAGCTTAGGTTAAGGGTAATATATCTGCAAAGTACTAAGAGGACTTTTAACCTGTTCAAATTCACTGCACTAAGTGGGTGAGTGAGAGGGAATGCAAGTTGGATATTCATGGTAGAGGTGAATTTCTGTTGGAGCATGGTAGGAGAATCCCCGTAGTGCGTATGTCCTGGCTAAAGAGGGTTCCTGTAGTGTCGGCAGAAGCAACAGTAACTTGGTCTTTCGTTCTTTAAAATTCTCTTTCAAGACCTCTGGTGCGCTATTGCTTCTGATGCTGAAACATATATATATACTTCATAGGATTAAAAAAATGCTTCTGCTTCCTGATTTTTCTCTCAAACTTCTCTGTGTCTCACACTGTGTTCTTTAAACAAGATGCTGAAAGAAGGGAGGCTTGCAGGAGTTCAGTTTAGTCAGCCAGAATCCTAACAGGTTAAAAGCAAATACGTAATGGTAGATTTACCAAGATCACCCAGAAACTTTAGAGAAGGTATTGATTCCACCTGAAACAATTTGGATACTCTCTAAACGCAAGATGACAAATCGTGTTTATTCCATGCTGTATTTATAGTAAGTTAAGTGCTGCAGATGACCTGTAGGAATCAATGTCCTACCAGTACGCAGCTGGTCTCTTCTCCTCTCAGTTCACCACTGTTTTTCACACCAGGCACCACCTGTGATGGCATATCCTGCCACAACGCCGACAGGAATGATGGGCTATGGGATGGTGAGTGGAACTCTTGTAACTCAGATGTGTCTTGTTTGATTTGTCGTAGTTGGGTAGCAGTTGTTTTTCAGAACTATCTTACTGAAGACTGAATTTCAGCTCCTGTTGGTTTATTCGTCACGAAATCATTAAGTCCTGAACTACTTCACTGGCTTTTGTCTGAAATTAAGTCTACCCTTTATTATCTCACCTAGTTTTTCATAAACTTTTTAAAGTTTAAACTGTGTCTATTTTTGATGGGCTTTATTGGTGTAGGAGTAAGTGTACCATACAACTAAGTGTATCATGTGAGTACAAATAGCTACGTTCACAACAGGGATGTTTTATCAGTGAAGTGAAACCTTCCTTAAACACATGCTTCCAACCTCAGCAAAAGGCATTTGTACCAACTGACACTAAAAAAACACAAGTTTGTGACGCTGCTGTGTGTTGTGGTGTCATTTGAGAACTGAATCTTAGTGACACACCAATATTGGAAGGCTATTGACATAAATCTGACCTTGCAGCTTGTTGATCTGAAAAGTTCAAATTTTCGTTCTTATCTGAAACTTTTAAATATTTCTGAAATGGTATGCCTTAACTCTTCTTTAAAAGTATGATTTTTATGTATCACAGTTTTGCTGGGTGAATAAAAGGAGAGAGAACTTCCTTAGAATAATTATTCTGTCATGAGGCTCACAGATTAGTTTAATAAAAAAATAAAAATAAGCTAAATGTTTCATCATATAATAAAATTAGATTAATGATTTATAATTTGTATATGCTCAGTAAGTGAACTGCAAAAGTGACCAACTGTGTTCTTGAGGCTCTTTTGGGAGAGTACCATGTTCCTCGTTATCTCTCCGTGAACTCCTGTAGTATGTTTTGTGCAAAGTCGTTGTAGTTAAACTACCTTTAGTGCTGATTCAAACTTGATCTACATAACTTTGCACTGGCGGTACTGGAAGCGTTTTCTTGGTTATTCTGATTCAGCAGCTGGGGAAGGTAACGTATGTAGTGTATAGAAAATAATCATGCATGTTTCATAAAGCAGCTTTCGTCATAGGGTTTAAATGCCAATGTGAAATGGAAACTGGAATTAGTGGGAGCCGTAGCTCTGTTATCCTGAGTTGCTGATACTTGTTTAAAAGGTTGCAATGTCTGAGCAGATGGGTGGGATGGGCCCTTACAGAGTGCCCAGCAGGCTTTGTAATGCCTTCTGGAAACTGTCCTGGCTCATTCAAACTCTACTCAGGATCTTTACTGCTAGAGATCTCTGAAATGTTGACCTGCGTTACAACCCTTGTGTTCAATTTTTCCTAAAAGCAGCAGTAGAATCATAGAATGGTTTGGGTTGGAAGGGACCTTAAAGATTATCTAGATCCAGCTCCCTTCCCATGAGCAGGGACACCTTTCACTAGATCACATTGCTCAAAGCCTCATCTAACCTGGCCTTGAACACCTCCAGGGATGGGGCAGCCACAGCTTCTCTGGGCAACCTGTTCCAGTGCCTCACCACCCTCTGAGTGAAAAATTTCTTCCTTATATCTCATCTAAAACTCCCCTCTTTCAGTTTAAAGCCATTGCCCCTTGTCCTATCACTACACGCCCTTGTAAAAAGTCCCTCTCCAGCTTTCCTGTAGGCCCCCTTTAAGTACTGGAAGGCTGCAATAAGATCACCCTGGAGCCTTCTCTTCTCCAGGCTGAACAGCCCCAACTCTCTCAGCCTGTCTTCATAGCAGAGGTGCTCCAGCCCTCAGATCATCTTCGTGGCCCTCCTCTGGACTCATTCCAGTAGCTCCATGTCCTTCTTGTGTTGGGGGCTCCAGAGCTGAACACAGTATTCCAGGTGGGGTCTCACGAGAGCTGAGTAGAGGGGCAGAATCACCTCCCTCGACCTTCTGGCCATGCTCCTTCTGATGCAGCCCGGGATGCGGTTGGCTTTCTGGGCTGCCAGTGCACATTGCCGGCTCCTGTTGAGCTTCTCATCCACCAGCACTCCCAAGTCCTCCTCCTCAGGGCTGCTCTCAATCCATTCTCTGCCCAGCCTGTACTTGTGCTTGGGATTGCCCCGACCCATGTGCAGAACCTTACACTTAGCCTTGTTGAACTTCATGAGGTTCTCACAGGCCCACCTCTCCAGCCTGTCAAGGTCCCTCTGGATGGCATCCCTTCCCTCCAGCGTGTCCACAACACCACAGAGCTTGGTGTCATCTGCAGACTTGCTGAGGGTGCACTCAGCAAGGTGGGCACTATAGATGTGAGCGTGGCTGTTTCTAAGTGTCAGTCTCATAGCAGGCTTTTCCCTTGGTGAGGCTACACTGGGACAGGCAGTTTCATTAGTACCTTCTTGTTCCCTGGCTGCTGGTTCCTGTCTCTTCATTGTGCCAGCAGTTTTTTAGTTTACTTTTTTTGTGGGGTGTTTTCAACAGGGTCAGTTTCTTGGATGGGCTCACCTTGTGATTGCCCAAACAGCTGGTTGGCATGATAGGAGGAGTACTAGGATTAGTCAACAAAAAGCTGCTTGGAATGGGGATTGCCCCAGTGGGACTGCTGCTGGGTGTCAGCTGCAGCCCGAGAGGAGTGCCAAAAGCAGTGCCAGAGGTGGACGTCCATGTTAGATAAAACCTGACTTCTAAGACCATTAGTGAATGTTAAACTCTTAATTTGGCTCGGCCAGAGTGTCAGTAACACTTCAGACTCTGGTTGCATAATGGTTTACAATAATGGTTTACATAATGGGACCTGATGAGATCCATCTGCGGGTCCTGAAGGAACGAAAAGCCACTGGCCATTGTATTTGAGAAGTCGTGGCGGTCTGGCGAGGTCCCCGATGACTGGAAGAGAGGGAACATAACCCCCATTTTTAAAAAGGGGAACAAGGAGGACCCGGGCAACTACAGGCCGGTCAGCCTCAGCTCTGTGCCTGGCAAGGTC